ACTCAGCACTCAGGGAGCAGAGAGAAGCTGCAATTATTAAAATTTAGAAGCTTGGAGGAGGGCCGCACAGAAGGGAACCTCAGGCCCCTGTGGAGGGAGCCCCAGCCATGAGGCAAGCTCTGGGACAACTGCCCACGGGACTCCAGGGCTGCACAGGATGGGATGACCCCGAGGGGAAGCCATGAGGCTGGATGCTGCTCCCAGAACTGGGAAACAGAGAGGAAGGAGTGTGCTCTCCTTCTTCCTCCCACCTCTGGCCTCCGCCTCCTCTTGCAGAGCCTCAGGAGCTGCTGGCCAAGCAGAAGTGGATCTGCAGAGTCCCCACACTGGACTACAGCAGGTTTGAGGCTGGGAAGTAGTAACTGAATAACTAGCCCAGGCTCTCCCCAATGGCGGGGCTGGGTATAGAGGTCTCTGGTCTCTGGGGCATAAGAGACAACTTGTGAGTTCCTTCCAGTCTCCCAGTCTCCACATTCTACAAGGCTGGGCTTTCCCCATCAAAGTTTGTTGGTGGCCTCTGAGATAGGGGATGGAAGAAGACAGGAGGCTGGGGAGAGGGGTGAGGAAGAGGTGTCATGTCACTCAAACCCCACAGAGCAGCCAGGTCCCTGCCAGAGGGGTAAGCAGGCAAGGTCTCTCCATAAATCCCCTTCCCAGGCTACGGCTGTTTGTTTGTATTAAAACAGGAACATGATAACAGAGCTATAAGTAGCTCCGCGCTCAGCTGTGCAAGGTAGGGAGTTAGGACAACTGAATTCAGCCACTGGAGGGAGATGAGGTCTCCCACCTGCTGGGCCATTTGGGAACAAGCAGCTGGCTGAGGTCGCTGGGCATGTTGAGCAGCCAAAGTCACCACCGGCCAGGTGAACCTGAGCTCACCTTCAATGAGCAAACATAACCTGGGCTCCTCCAGCCGATGCCTCCCATGGGCTCAGCTGACACAGGACCTGACTGGCAGGATGCCACTGTGGCCAGAGGGCAGTGCCACAGCAGGGCAGGCAGGTGTCATCTGACCTTGCTGGTCTGGTCCAGAGCCCAGTGCAGGGCCTGCAGAGGCCCGCTCAGGGGTGAGGCTGTCTGCTGAAAGCACGCCTGTCCCAGTCCAGATCAGGCTCCAGGCCCTGCTCGCTGGGAAACAAGGGTAGATCATTCCCACCTTCTTGGCCTTGGCTTCCCCATCTGTGGAGGAAGCGTTGCTGACGATGATCTCCAAGCTTCTTCCAACACTAACAACCCAACATGCTCAATGCAGAAGAAAAATCAGAACTTTTTAAGCCTTTAACACAGATACATTCCCATCACATACAAAAAAGTGGGCTTTTTTTAAACATAGAGAATAAAAAAAGTCCCTAAATAGAAAACTTAGTATAATTGTCTGATGTATCAACAAATCCCAACAGGCTGTTCTCACGGGACAGCGCAGGTTAGTTGCAAAACCTCTCTGAGCCTCCGCGTTATCGTCGATGACATGGGGCCGCCGTGATCTTGTCTCTGATTTCCTAGCTCCCTGTGCCTCCCCACCCTACCCGGAGCACGTAAAATGGGGCATTGGCCCAACCTGGACACCGCAATCTGGGTCTGAGCGACGTCCTCCACCCACAGGCCGCTTGTGCACTGCTCAGCTGCTGTGCTGGTTCTCACGTTTCCATTTCCCTTCCTCCTCCACACTTGGCCCCAGGCCTCATTTCCCCGGTTATGCTCTTGGCTCCTCTCAGCACTGCTTTGTCGACCCAGCCCTGCTAGGCTGTCTGGGCCACCGCAGGAAGGACGGGCCCAAACCTGGCCCTGTTCACAGATCAATGAGGGGGGATGGGTCACATCAGCTGGGACCTTCCCAACCAGCTCCAGTTACCAACAGCTAAACACTCCATGCTCTACTCTGGGAGGAAATGAGCAGAAAAAGAAATGAGAGAAAAAGGCTATCAACCCCTTTGAACTGCATTGAAAAATCTTCCAAGGTGGTAGGTAGCATCACATCCTTCATGAATGCAGGGTCTGGGGCCAACTGGCTCCATCCTTCCTCTTGCTCTCTGCTGGTCTTGACCATGTGACTTGATCCCTCTGGGCCTCGGTTGTTCATCCATCAAAAAAAGAAAATACCTACCCCGTCGCTTTGCTGTAAGTATGAAAGAGCACACAAGCAACCCAGTGCTTGGTACGTGAAAAAGCTCAATATTTATGGAACGCGTGAAGAAGTGAATTAATGAATCAAAGACTGTCCTGTTTTACATTCGGGGGCTGTGATGATGTGACACCAATGAACCAGTTGAGAAACAGACATCTTCCCAAGCAATTATCCGTTAAAATGAATTTTATATTTTAATCTACCGGAGAGTAGGTTGAGGTTAGCTGGCTGGTTAGGCTCCGTGCAGGAACAAGTGGGTAGTTTCTTCTACCCACTTTGTGCATTCAGTCTCATTTGTGCATTCAGTCTCATCTGTGGCAAGCCACTGGAAAGAATTAGAAGCCTAAACTGTGGCTCCTTTTCAAAGATGTGCAGTTTCATTCGTCTGAGGAGAGAGAGGCACCCTTAGCTAAATTAACACCTGGTGCCCGGCGATGGCCACGGAGAGGGACAGGATTGGAATGATGCGTCACCAGCCCAGTAAACACTTCGGTGTTTACTTCTTAAAGTAAGAAGACACTTAAATGGCTTCTTCAAAAGTTCTTGAAACCATCTGCTTTCTTCTTACTGAGCCTGTGTTATAAATAAAACGTCTTAGTCGCCATTTGTTTTTCCTAGCGCACAAGTCAGTTTAGCTGAGCTTTTATCGCAGATGTACCGATTTCTAAGTAGTTGCGCCCAAATTCATGATTTTACTGAAGGGATAGAAAGAAGGCAGTATAAACCTTGTTTCACTGAAGGCTTTGCTTATTGAGACTCCAAATAGACCCACTGCCAGCAATAACAGAATAGGCAGTGGTTTATAAGTTTACTCTGTTCCAAGAGCTTTACTGAAATTAACTCGCCACCACCATGTGAGGTAGGGATTGCCATGATACCCATTTTAGAGATGACAAAACTGAGGACACAGAAGTTAAATAACTTGCCAGAGTTCATAATCCCAACCCCTGCCTCCAGAGGGAAGTTGTCCTGGAGATGGATGAGCAAATCTACACACACCTGTGTTTAGTCACACGTGGTGGGAAATGGAAATCTGGTTGCTTGCTTAATGTCCAGCTTGAAAGAAGACAGCACAAAGAGGGAAGCTGATCAGCCATGGACAGGTGTAGACAGCGGTAAGTCAAGGAGACTGATACTGAGGTTCTATCAGAGTACTGCCTTGGGAAGAGGTGGTCATGGCTAAGGAATGTAGACAATCTGGATTCCATAGTGCTTGGCATCTGAACACACGTCCCCCGTGCCTAGGCAATCTGTTAGAGGAGATGGAGCACCAACTTCTGGGATGGAAGCTAAAAGGTCTGCTTACTTGAGGTGACCAGGACAGCGGTGGTGGGACAGGTGTCAGTGATGATGCCCAATATCCAGCAGTCATGACAGTGTCGGTCCAGGAACCAATGGTGGTGGCAACCGTGATATCAGTGGCCAACCACGAGCTGACGGAGGGGATGGTTCATGGAGGGAATTTGCGCTGCCGAAGGGATGCAGCTGAAATTGAATACTGAACATCCCTCACCTTCAACATCCTTATGGGACTCTGCCATTTTGGTTGGCCACCCTCTCTCTGTCCTTCTCCCCTCCTCTCAGGGGCAATCCTCCCCGTCTCTTTCACTATGTTTGCTTCCTGTTGCCCTCTGAATGACCCCTCTTCATTTTCAATTGGCTCATCCAAGATATTTCACTTAAAAAGATTCTCTTCCCTAGAAGAATTCTCCTATGACTTGGGTGGAAGTGGGGGAGGGGGAAGGCAAACATTCTTGATTCTCATCCCACCAATCCTTAATTGTACAGAAACCCGGTGTTCATAAACAGAAAAGTAACAATTTTCAAACATTCCCCCCCAACTGTGGAATTATTTTTTCAAACAATAGTTTGTACAGAACTCCAAGATGTGAAACATAAACACTTTAACATGAGGTGAAATTCATGTAACACAAAATTAACTATTTATTTATTTATTATTTCAAATGAACCATTTTATTTATTTATTTATTTTTAAATGAACCATTTTAAAGTGAACAACGCAGTTGTATTTGCCACATTCACAATGCTGGGCAACCGCCGCTTCTGTCTAGTTCCAGAATATTTTTCATCTCACCAAAATAAAACCCTAAACCCATCAAGAAGTTACTCCCCCTTTCCCCAACCCTTCCGAACAGTCAATCTGGTTTCTGGATTTGCCAGTTCTGGACATTTCCTATCAATGAAATCACACAATACGTGACTTTTTGGGTCCGGCTTTTCTCAGTAAATTTTTGTGGTTCATCTGAGTTGTTAGCACGTATCTGAACTTCACTCCTTTTTATGGCTGGTCAATATGCTGCTGTATGGACGGACCACAATTCGAATATCCATTCACCTGTTGGAACATATACACCTTGGCTCTGTCCAAACCGAAAGTGGGGCACCAAGATCTCCCCCTCCGCATCCAGCATGAGCCCCCCCCACCCAGAGCTTGCCGGGACACCTGGCCCCCAGGAGGCCTCTGATGTCATGCCAACTTGCTGCCCTGGGGTGGGGGGCACCTCGCGGCAGGGATCAGGGCCTTCTGCAGAAGGAAAGACTCTGCCTTATGAGAAACAAGATCGAAACTGGCTTGTTCTTGCAAATGAGTGGCTGGCTGGCCGTAACCCAAGGGATCGGGGAGGGTGGAAGGCCGCGGGGCAGCAGGGTCTCCGGCGGCTGCGCACTGGTCCCACCCAAGGGCCTCGAGGCCTCCTCAGCACCCCAGCCAAGCCTGCAGCACTTTATGACTTCACTTGTTGAAAGTCAAGCCACGCCTGGGTAAGTACATTCTCCACACACCACACCATAAACAGGTGCCAGACTGCTGGCGTCATCATCTTTCCACAAGTTTCTTTTGTCTTGCCACATGATTTAGGGTGGGAGTTTTCCAGGTGTCAACGGGAAGCCCTGGGCGCATTTGACTCCTGTCCCCAAGGAGAGCTCTGTCCTTGCTCTGCTGGGTGGAGGGCGAGTGGGTGACCTGCGGGGCCCTGCTCCCCGGCAGGACGATTCCGATCGCTTAGGTGCAGCCAGGCAGGTCACGGGGCCAGTTTAAGTCTGGATAAGCCTTCTCTGAAAGGAGCCCTGCTAATGTGATAACCGGGAAAATCCTCTACGTGAAAGGCCCTGGCCGCGATGGGCGCAGAAACGCTGATTCCACGTTTGCGTGTTGCCCGGGGCCCGGGGAGGCCGCTGCTCAGGTAGGAGGTGCTGTGGGTGCGAGGGTGGAGCCGGCGGCCGTGCGGGGCTGGGTGACGCGGGGCCTCGGGCCGCACCTGCTCCTGAGTGCGGGAGGAGAAAGCACAGCTGCCGGGGAGCACACCTGTGGCCGCAGCCTCCGAAGTCCCAGACCTCCCCCAAATGTAAGTAGCGGGCAGGGCTGTACCCGCCTTCCCTTCTGGTCCCCGGGGCCGAGGGGCCGGCAGGGCTGCAGCTCAGCAGGACAGAGCTCCTGGAAAGCCAGGCCTGCTCTCCCTGCCGGCCCTCTGTGGTTTTGAAATTTGCACTGAGCCAGAAGTAGGTGGTTGGTTTTTGTGTTTAAGATTTATTTATTTTAGAGAGAGAGAGAGAGAGAGAGAGAGAGAGCGTGAGCACAAGCAGGAGAGGCAGAGGGAGAGCGAAGGAGAGAATCTCAAGCAGACTCTCCGCTGAGCCAGACACCGGGCTCGATCTCACCACCCAGAGATCATGACCTGAGCCGAAACCAAGAGTCTGAGGCTCAACCCACTGAGCCCCCCGGGCACCCTGAACCAGGAGTAGTTTTGTCATTGTCCTTTAGTCCATTTATGCGTATGAAAAGCCAGCCCAAGCGCTCTGATTTGTGATACCATTATTGAATTTAATCTGGTGAATGAGTGTCAGAAATTAATATTACAGAGAACCGTATGACATTCCAACTGTGCGTGGGTTAAACTGGTTGGCACAGCGAGGTGGCAGTCATTGATAGGGGCATAATGATTATTAACACCCAACATTATTTGCTAATGAGGCATCATTTTCCAAATGAACATCAAAAGAAACCCTGAACTGATCAATTTTAAACGCATGAAGGTTTTCATATTCTGTGAGCATATGATACATATATATTTTTTTTTCCGATCTTATAAACAGTAAACAGAATGATTTAAGGAATTGCCTCCTTTAGACTCAAGGGTTTGGAGTGAGAGAATCAATCGATCATTATAGGGACGTCACCTGCAATTTTCTCAGTTTGGGGGCGTTTTATTTGTGCTGCTGAAAATACTCACATTTTATTTTCCCGTGACTGTTCAGTACACATAACACATGGAAGCTCCTCAGTCAGTGTTGGTTGAATAGATAAGCAATCAGTGGACAAAATTTATTTGAAGTGAGTCAATCACTGAAGTTTTCTGAGCAAATACTAGGGTGTAAGCAAACACTGCTGCGGAAGGAATCTTGAATTAGAAGGCAGGAGGCTGAGTCGTTTTTCTGGCTCTGACTTCTCCAAACTGGGTCTTGGGCAAGCTCCCCGGTTTTCCACCCTGGATTAGCCTGGTAATCCCTAAGGCTCCAGCTCTAGAAGTCGATAATTTTACAAGTTTTCCGGAACTTAGTTTCTCCATGTAGAAAAAGCGAGAGGTTATGGGGTCTCGTGGAACTCAGACGACGTCGGTGCAGCCGCGGCTTTGTGGGCTGTGCGGGAGGCATCCTCACGATGCTGGTGACCAGCCACCAGCGTGGCTAAGTGAGCCCGATGGAAGGGGTCTAGTTGTCCTGGCAGCCCCCTGCTTTACGGGATTATGTATTCCTTGTCTGGCCCCGGTTACCCCTTTTCCTCACCAAGAAAACCATCCTGCCTTCATGAAAATATGTGCAGAAGCGAAACTGATTTGATGAAGCAAGTGCTTAGAGTAAAAAAAAAAAAAAAAAAAAAAAAATTCCGTATGGTACTGAAGGGAAGTGGATTTCACACCCCCTAAGGTTGGACCCCGGACCCTCTGTGGTCACTTGATGGGGGAACTGCCACACTCTGCATTTCCAAAGTGAGCACCAGGAGAAACAGAAAGCACCCGAAAGTGGCCCTCCTGGAGTAATCTTTGGCAACTGCGCCCCTCCTGTCACTTTGTGGATATACCTACGTGTGTACGTTGGCGTTAACACAGACTCCGTAACAAACTCGTTTTTCAGAAGCGTCTGCCAACCCCGGGGTGGGGAATAAAAACAGCAGCCCATACTGGGAAGGAAGTCTGGGTGGCATATCGCAAAAGAAAAGCCTTCAAAAGCGATTTTCCATGATGTGACTGCCGAGATCAACATTTCCCATCATCTGGCTTTTGAGTTTGGGGAGACGCGCAGAGAAAGCCTCAGATCTTCTTCGATGTTACAGATGTGCATACCCTTTTATTTCTTCTAGTTGCTTCTGGTAAAATCCTGAGGGACGCTGACACCCTGAATCGCCATGGGCAATGAGAACAGCACCTCGGAAAGCCAGGTGGGTGTCAGGGAGCTTCCCGCCTCAACCTACATGGGTCCCTTGACTGACTTTGATTAGATGTTTTTCAGCATCTCCTCTCCGCCCGGGAAGGAGGAAGCTAAAACACACATTATACATAGATACATACGGGCACATATGTATTTCCAGAAGTATTTACCATTTATTGCATTTTCAGAATTCTTGTATTAAGGCTAGCTCTGATTTTATAAACTATATATATATTTTAAAAACCTAGCTTAACTGTGCTTTTATTCTGTGCTTTTAAAATTGACAAAATAAGAGTTTGGCACATTTTCCCTGCATCGTGCCCACCCCATTCACTTACTTCTATGGATGCGTCAGAGAAGGTTGAAATGAAACCTTATCCATCCTTCTCCCCCAAATAAAATTATGGCCCTTAAAAAGTGATCTTCAAATCTATCAATGTTGAACTATCTATGTTCGTTAGTGAACATCTATCACTGTTAAAGGTGAACTATCGTTTCCACGTCAGGTAAGGTTTTCATGATTGAGGAATGAGCCTCAACTGCTTAATTGTGCATACGGCTGGGATTGTTAAAATAGATTCAAATTTTATAGCTCTTCATTTTCAGTTTGAGAGACTCAATTCAGTGCCCCGGTGAACAAAGTCAGGGGGACGCTTTCCTACTTCTCTCACCCACAATGCACATTTTTTGATTAACGGTATTGAGTTTTCGGAACGAGATCACTGGATCTGAAAGCCAGCGTAAAGCAATTTGTATTCCTTCTGCCTTTTTTTTCCCTATGATCTTCTTTTCTCAAGGAGGAACACAGGAATCATTAAGAGAAAAGGCTGGCAAATTTCGGTCTTTAGGAGCAGGCCAGAAACAGTAAATGGCAGGATATGAGACAACAGGGAGAAGGAGGGACTGTGGCAAATAGGAGGGATCCTCTCCTGTTGTTTGAAGGACGCACCTCCATCAACCCTGGCTGATGGTGGGAGTGCAGGCCCAGTGTTACAAGACCTTCCTATCTTTTCAAGAGAAGTCAAAAGCCTCTATTTTTCTATAAAATCATAAAATATTTATAATTTAACTTTTTTAAAATTTTGAGACAATGATAGATTGGCGTGCTGTTGCAAGACCTAAAACAGAGAGATCCCTGAACCCTTTACCTAGTTTTCCCCCAGGGTAACATCTTTCGAAACTACAGTTGCAAACTCCTATCAACGTTGATACAGTCAAGATACCGAACATTTCCCTCACCCGAAGGATTCCTTGCATTTTCCTTACAGCCACCCCCAGTACCTCCAGCCCCGCACTCCTAACCCCTGGCACCTCCTAATTTGTGCTCTCTGTCTGTAATTTTGACTTTCTGAGAACGTTATATAAATGGGGTCACACGGCATGTGACCTGTTGGAATTGGCTTTTTTCACTCGGCCTAATTTCGAGATTCATCCAGTTGGTCATGTGTGTCGGTAAATTCACTCCTTTTACTTGCTGACTTATGCTCCGTGGTATAGAATCATCTGGGTTGTTTCCAGTTTGGGGGCGATCACAGTATTGCAATATCACAGTAAAGCTTATTGTGAACCTTTGCATACAGATTTTGCGTGTGTGTGAATATAAGTTTTCATTTCTCTGACGCGAAAGCCCAAGAACTCAATTGCTGGGTCACGTGCTAGTTGCATGTCTAGTTTTATATAGCAAGTTCGGTGTTATAGCACGTTTAGTTTTATAAGGAACCACCAAACGGTGAGATAGAACCCTTGTACCATTTTACATTCCCACCGGCAATGAGCAATGGATGAGTGACCCAGTTTTTCCACACCCTGGCCATCATTTGGTGGTGTCACTCTTTGGTGGCACCATGCTGATATGTGTCTTGTGATATGTCACCCTGGTTTTAATTTGCATTTCCCTGATAACTGGCGTTGCTGATCATCTTTCATGAACTTGTTGCAGTCTGTATGTTCTCTTTGGTGAAATACTGTGTTCGTGTCTTTTACGCATTTTCTAATTGGCTTTTTTATAAACTGTTGAGTGTTAAGAGTCTTTATATAGTCTAGATACTACTCCTCTGTCAGGTTGTGGTTTGCAAGTATTTTCTCCGGCACGCATTTTCTAATTGGCTTTTTTATAAACTGTTGAGTGTTAAGAGTCTGTTGCGGTCTGTATGTTCTCTTTGGTGAAATACTGTGTTCGTGTCTTTTACGCATTTTCTAATTGGCTTTTTTATAAACTGTTGAGTGTTAAGAGTCTTTATATAGTCTAGATACTACTCCTCTGTCAGGTTGTGGTTTGCAAGTATTTTCTCCGGCACGCATTTTCTAATTGGCTTTTTTATAAACTGTTGAGTGTTAAGAGTCTTTATATAGTCTAGATACTACTCCTCTGTCAGGTTGTGGTTTGCAAGTATTTCCTCCGGCTTGCAGGTTTTGATAAATTCTCTCTCTTTTTAATCTTTCTTTCTTTCTTTCTTTCTTTCTTTCTTTCTTTCTTTCTTTCAGGCCCTAGGGTCAAGAGTTGCATGCTCTACTGACTAAACCAACTGGGCACCCCTATAACTTCTCTTTATCAAGTTAAGGAAGATCCACCTCTATTCCTAGTTTGCTAAGGATTTTTATCATCAATGGGTATTGGATTTTTTCAAATGCGTTTTCAATTTTTCTGTGTCAGTTGATGTAGCCGTATGATCTTTCTTTCTTCTTTGGGCTTTTGCTATGTTAGATTACATTGACTGATTTCTGAATGTTGAACCAGTCTTACATACCTGAAATTAATCTTACCTGGTTGTGGTGTATAATTATTTATAAAGATGTTAGGCTTGATTTGCTAACATTTTTTGAGGATTTTTGTGTCTAAATTCACTATAAACACTGCTTGGTAGTTTTGTTTTGTTTCTCAGGTTCTGGTATGCTAAAACTTATCTCCTAGAACAAGTGAGGGAGTGCTTTCTCCTATATTCCTAGAAAAGGTTGTGTAAAGAAATTCTACACTTTTCACAATGTTGGGAACTAATTTAAATCATATTTAAACACTCTGTGAGCCAAAAAGATGCTCCTGCTGCCTGAGGTTGGCTCATGTCCTACTTCTTTGTGATCTCATTAAAGGGATGTTTTGTCTTGTGTTTTAGAGTGAAGAAGGGCATGGCCATTGGTTCGGTGCTTTCCATGTGCAGACCCAGTACAGTCCCTAGACTCATATTCTGGCCTTTAGTCCCGCTGATTCACAAACTAAGTGGCTCAATTTCAATACCTTCTCTAAAGACTTGCAGATCTGTTTGGGTCCCAAACCATCTGGAAGCTCTACTGTTGGCTACAAACACAATAGAGTCCTAGTTGTCACTGGGGGTGTATTTGCTCCTACCCCCAGGACATTTGTCAATGTTTGAAGGCAGGTTTGGTATCACAGCTCCAGAGTGGGGGTGCTACTGGTATCTAGTAGAGGTCAGGGATGCTGCTAAATGTTCTCAATGCACAGAGATGGCCCCACACGGAGAGTTATTCTTCTGAAAATGTCTAAGGTGCCAAGGTTGAGAAAACCCAGAATAGCAGAACATTTGTCTTGCCTGCTTGAAGAGAACTCCTTGGGGCGGTGGCTGAACTTTAATCTGAGATGAATTTCTACCTGAATACAGGCAAATTAAAGTGGCTTACGTTTTTTCTTCATTACATTTACTAAATTACACTGTCCAGAAATGGAAGGCTGGTTGCTTAGAATAGCCTAACAGAGATGGAATTGCTAGGTCAAATAAAGGGTGTTTTCAAAACTCTTGCTATACAACTAGATCTAAATCTATCTGTATCTACATACAAAATACTTTCCGGAAAGGTGATGCAAATTTATACTTTTCTCATCAGGGTATGAGGGGGTCCATCTCACTAGATCGTTGCAAGCAACGGATATATTTCAGTGTTTCAGATCTTTACCTCTCACCTCCTGCCAGCCCCCAGCCCTGTCCTCTCTCTTCATCTGTTCCCTGCTGGAGCAGACAGGAGGTGTCTTCCTGCCATTGCAAATTTTCACATCTCCAGCCTCAGTCAGATATGACCCAGCAGGACATGATGGCATTGCCTTTAGGAGTCCAGGGTCAGTACAAGGTTTGCCTTCCACAGAGAAACAAGTGGGAGTGAAGTATGTTTGGCTACAGGATCAGGGATCCCCTGTGGGGCTGGTGTTCCAGACTCATCTTTCCACCGTCTTTTGATTTTATTTATTTATTTATTTATTTATTTATTTATTTATTTATTTATTTATTTATTTATTTATGATAGTTACAGAGAGACAGAGAGAGAGAGAGGCAGAGACATAGGCAGAGGGAGAAGCAGGCTCCATGCACCGGGAGCCTGATGTGGGATTCGATCCCGGGTCTCCAGGATCACGCCCCGGGCCAAAGGCAGGCGCCAAACCGCTGCGCCACCCAGGGATCCCTCCACCGTCTTTTGAATGATCCATGGTTGCCCCATGTTTCTCAAACCTGAACTAGACTCCTCCTCCTCCTCTATCCTTTACTCCTCCTGCATCCCCCTCCTACATACCATGATCTACCCTACCATCCAAGACAGAAATCTGGGGGTCACCTCTGACTCCACTCATTCCCATTCTCCCCATGTAATAAATCATTCTATGAATTATAATTAATAAATTAATGGTCTGGCCATTTAGTCTTTCTTTCTTTTTTCTAGCCAGCCTGAGTCATGCTGCGAAAGGTGGGCCCAGATTGGTGATGGCCCCATTAATATCACTTAGAGCCCTTTCTCAAAAGATGAACACATAGCGCATGTCCAAGATGTAGTTTTTTTCCAATTTTTTTCCCTCTCCACCCCCACCACACACCCTATTATCATACACCTGGATCAGTGCAGGGGCTGCTTCAAACCTCTTCTGCTCCAAACTAGTTTCTCTGCCTCCACACTCGTTCCCCTACCCCATCCATGCCACCAGGCCTCTCCCAGAGGCTTTTCCTCTGTGCTGGTACACTTGGAGGCCCCAGCATTCTACTTACAAGTGAACTCTTGGAAGGAAAGATAGGGGTCTGCAGGAACCTCCTGTTCACAGATTAAAGACCAGGCACTGAGGACCAGCCATGTCACCAGGGCAAAGGATGAGGACAGGCCTGCCCAGTGCCAACCCTTGCCTTCCTCCTATGCCCTCGGGTGGCAGGTGCCTTTCCCTCCATTAACTAATGTCCCCTGGTAGCCATGGGCAGGGTGGGAGTACACTCAGCAGGAATAGAAACCAGCCAAGAGTGTCCCTCTGGTACTGCGGGGGCTCCTGTTCACTGTGGCCCCTCCTAACAGTGAGACTCCTTTGCTTTCAGCAAGAGAACTCCGGCTTGCATAACGTCATCCTGTGGCCTCCAAACCCTGAGCCTGCACAGGTACCAGGAGGTGTGCTATGTGTAGTCTGCTCTCTGCCCCCTTCCTAACATCTAGGCGTTTGCACGCTTTGCATGTTCCTTTAAATTTTTAAGTTTTCTCCTCCTTCTCCTATTGCCTCCTTCCATCTACCTCAAATGAGTTGTAAAACACAGAAGAATCTGCAATACATGTTCAGATTTTTTAAGAGAACATTTTGGTGTGCCTGCCCCAAAACTGGCACAGCTGCTATGCCGTGAGATGCTCAATAAAGCTCATGTTCTCAAGGTATTGCAGACACTGGGAGCCCCCACTAACCTTCCACAGTCCTCGGCTTTGCTTTCCCTAGTCCTGGAGTGAGGCTTTGTACGGGGCAGTGGCCCTGTCTTCACCACCACATCACCAAAACTGATGTGTTGTAAAAAAAAAAGAAGCTTGTGTTCTGAATCAGTTGTCCGTGTCATCGTGCAGCTGGCTGAGTCCCAGAGCTTTAGCTCCGGCTGAACTGTTTGCCATCCACTGGGGAGGAGGGCAAATCTGAAGCTTTACATCCGTTTCAAGATTTTTCCTGGAGAGAATGTCAGGCAAGGTTGGTGTGTGCTTGTGGGTGAGGTGACGGTGAGACGGTTAAATGGCACCTGCTCTGAAATCCCGTCACACCCAGGAGGGGTGTTAGGCCCCTGGGTGGTGTGTTCTTGGCTTTAAGGAAAGAGCCTGGGTGCCTCAGTCAGTTGAACGTCAGATCTTGGTTTGGGCTCAGGTCATGATCTCAGGGTCAGTTGTGAGATCGAGCCCGTGAAATCTGCTTGAGATTCTCTCTCTCTCCCTCCCTCCTCCACTGCTCTCTCTCTCTCTCTCTCAAATAAATAAATAAAATCTTAAAAAAAAAGAAAGAAAAGAAAAGAAAAGAAAGAAAAGAAAAGAAAAGAAAAGAAAAGAAAAGAAAAGAAAAGAAAAGAAAAGAGCTGCTCCACCCCCAAAGGTGGCTGTTGGGTAGGTCTGCTTGGTGTGATGTTGCATAAACTGACCTCTGTGCTCTGAAGCCAAAATACGACAGAGGACAGAGTTTGGGGATAAAGAGGAACAGTAGTAATTATTACTTTGTCAGGCAAAGGAGGCTCCTGCAGGCTAATTCCTTCAAAGCCAGGCCAGGGTAACAGGCTGAGGGGTCTTATGGGAAAAAACATTTCCTATATATACAGGATCTGGGTGGTTTCGGTGGGAATATGGTGCCTGCTGCACCGGCAGGTCCCCCAGGTGGTCTCCTGACCAGCGCTGGCACCAGCCGCCCGAGTCTCATTACTGAGCACACACTGAGGTCACCAGATGTCAATATTGATACCAACTTCTGCAACAAAGGATTCTACAGAATTTTTTTCTGTTATGGCAAAATAGACATAACATGAAATTTACCATCTCGACCATTTTTCAGTTCAGTGGTGTGAAGCACATTCACATCCTACAATCATCCCCACCATCCATCACCAGAATTTTTTCATATTTTCAAACGGAAATTCTGCACACATGAACCAATGTCTCCACATTCCCCTCCCCACTCCCGGCAGCCACCATTCTACTTTCCATCTCTGTAAATCTGACTCCACTAGGTAAGTCACATCAGTAGGATCAATTTTGTGATCTACTTCACTTATGACAGCCCCTTCAAGGTTCATCCGTGTTGCAGCCTGTGCGAGAACTTCCTTCCTCTTCAGGGCTGAATAGTATTCGATTATATATACTCTCACATTTTATTCATGCATTCATCTGCTGATGGACACTTGGGTTGCTTCCACCTTTTGGCTGTTGTGAACAATGCTGCTGTAACCATGGCTGTCCAAATATGTGTGACTCCATGCTTTCAGTTCTTTGAGGGTAGATATCCAAAGTTGAATTTGCTTGGTCATATGTTAATTCTGTGTTTCATTTTCTGAAAACCACCAGACTTTCCCACAATGGCTGCATCATTTTACATTCTCATCAACAATGCCCAATGGTTCTAATTTTTCCACGTCCTTGCCAACTCTTGTTATTTTGTTTTGTTTTGTTTTGTTTTTTTGCTTTTATAGTAGCCTTCCTAGTGGGTATAAAGTGGTGTCTCATTGTGGTTAGAGGCTATATACTTGATCTGTGGTCAAAGAAGCCCTTTCTGCAAACCTGATGTGCCCAGAGGAGGCAGCCACAAAGTTCTGGAAAAGGAACATTCTGGAAAAGGGAATAGCATGTGTGACATGTCTGGGAGGGATGAGCTTGTTGTATTTTGAGATTAGCAAAGCAAAGAAAGCCAGTGTGGCTGGAGGAGAGTGGGTGAGAGATTTTGTTGATATGTGAGACCAGGGAGGTGGGTAGGGGTGAATCTTGTAGGTCATTATCGGCTTTCTAATTGGGATGCAAAGCCACCAGTGGGTTTTCAGCTGAGAAGTGACATGAACTGATTTGAGGTTTTTAATTTAATTAATTATTATTGTTATTGTTATTATTATTATTATTATTATTTTTTTTTTTTTTTTTAGATAGGAACATGCACCCAAGCAGGGATGGGAGTGGGGTGGGGTGCCAGAGAGAAAGGGAGAGAGAGAATCCCAAAAAGACTCCAGAGCCCAAACACAAGGCTTGATCTAATGACTCTGATACCATGACCTGAGCCAAAACCAAGAATCAGATGCTCAACCAACTAAGCCGCTCTGATTCCCTGATTTGAGATTTTAAAAAGTGCTATGCAATTGGAATTACTATGTAGAAAAGGGTCTTTCAGGGGCAGAGGGCAGAAATGGAGGAGGGACACTAGTTAGGAGGCTGTTTAGAAGTCAGAGACACGGATGGCTATGGCTTGGAATGGGGTGGCAGGGAAGAGGGTCCCTGGATTGGGGATACATTTTGAAGGCAGAGAGGGCTCAATGATGATGGAATTTGGGGATGAGAAAAAGAGAACTGAATTAAGGATGAGCCCTATGTGTTTGGTCTGAGCCGTGGAGCAGATTGAAACATTTCCCAAGATCAGGAGGGTTGGAGGAGGGGCAGTTTTAGGGGGATGGGAGAGAGTCAAAAGTTCTCTGGTTTGGCCATAAAATCCGAAGGCCTTTGGGTACTCCAATGAAATAGGCTTTTGGAGGCACAAGAGGTGGAGCTTGAGATGCACATCAGAGTCTTCAGCATAATAGGTGTTTTGCTAGATGGGACCACCTGGGGAGAGAGTAAGGATGGGAAAAGGGACACAGGATGAATCCCTGAGATGTCCTTTAATATTTAGATGTGAGCCCAGGAGTAGGGGGAGTCTGTGAAGGAGTTGTAGCAGAAGACATAGGAAAATGAGGGATCTGGGAGGTCCGCGGAGAAGAGTATCAGGAGAAGGCAGAGGCATCAGATGCTCCTGAAATCAGGGAGTAGACACCTGCCCATTGACTTGGCAACATGAAGGCCATTGGCCTGAGGGAAACCTCATATGGCCCCTCGGGCCCTTGGTGAGCTCCTCCAGTGGCATGACAGGCTACAGTTTGGATGGGAGGGGCCTGAGGAAGGAATTGGAGATAAGGAAGTAGAGAGAGGGGCACAGATAATGCATCATGTTTTTCTAGGAAACAGAGAACATTGGGACAGTAGCTGGTGGAGAGAATTGCTGAGAGTTTAAAGACTGAAGATCCTAGGGCGCCTGGGTGGCTCAGTCGGTTAAGCATCTGCCTTCAGCTCAGATCATGATCTCAGGCTCCTGGGATCCAGTCCCCACATCAGACTCCTGCTTCTCCCTCTCCCTCTGCCTGCCCCTCGTGTGTATGCTCTCTCTCCCTCAAATAAATAAAATAAAATAAAATAATAAAATAAGATAATAAAATAAAATAAAATAAAAAAAATATTGGAGATCCTAGATGTCTGCCTGCTGGTAGGAATGAGAGAGAGAGAGGCAGAGGTCGAAGGTAGACGAGTGATAGACAGGTGGACTGAAGGAAGGCTGACCTTGACTATTGAGAGGGAATGGGGTCGTAGCTGACCTGGGCTTGCAGGAGAGATCCCCCTACGCTTGTGGATGGTGGAGAGAAGACAGCAGCAGATTCCCTGGGAACTATGAGGATGCAGGAGGGGAAAGGAGGCAGCTCTCTTCTGATGGCTGATTGGGGTGCACGTGTGACGGAGAGTGGGAGTCAGACGAGGCAGGGGGTGTACTGGGCTGCCTGGGAGTCAGGGGGTGGCAGGTGCCCGAGGAGACTGGGCCCGCATGCAGTCATGGAGAGAGGCAGGGATGTGAGGCCCCGTAGGACCTCTCCTCCTAGTCTCTGGGCAGTGGGCCCGCAAACCGTCTTAACGATTTTTGCTTTTGAAATTTTTTGGCAACCACTGAGGGCCGGATTGGTTATTGACCTTTTAACCTTATACTCAAGAAGTCAAGTTTAATAACATCACAATGGTCCTGATTCTGGATCCCGCTGACGAGTCAGTTATTTCTTCTTTGATCTGCACAAACCCTACTGAAACCCTGAAACTTAGGAATAAGGCCTGGATTTTATTTTTACCATGGGCTGGACTGAGTCCACTCATTTCTCGGAGGTTCCTCCTCCTGAGCTAAGGGCTCACAACTCCAGACCAGCCCCTGGGAGTCAGGTGGATGCCTGGGGCTGCACGCTGGGTCCTCCTGTGCCTCCTGCTCTGTCCCTCCGGGGAGACTCATGGAGGCCTCGGGGAGGGCGAGTGCTCCCAGGGAGCACGGAGCAGCCCGGTTACTAGCATGCATGGCTGTGCCTCACACCCAGACCCCAGGCCTCTCCTTCCTGCAGACATGTTGGCTGGGAAGGAAGAGGAAGCCACATCTGTAACAGCGGCTGTGGAGGGTGACTCGTGTTGGGGCGGAGGGCACAGGCCAGCCCGGGGTCCACAGAATGTCTAGCGCCCAGCCAAGGGGAGCCCACGCTGTCCCTGGGAGTGTCAGCGTCCTAGATTGCGTGTCCCTATTCGGGACAGAGGTGGAGGTGGCCTTGTGACAAGAGTCGCCTTCCTCCAGTGGCACCTCCTGGGGTTTCCTACGTCATAACTTGTG